CGTTATCATTTTTACTTGATGCATCAACTATCAAGACAAATACTCGAGTGTAGAAGAGAGTGCTAGTCGATTCGCAATTGAATAACCCAATCAAAACTAATTTCAGTTCAATTGTTCAATTTCAGTATTTATTCACTTGGGGAAGATTGGTTTATTGGGTTACTTGGAAAAATCCTAACTAAATCGATTGAATAACTGAACTATTAATAATATATTATCATAATTATTTGAATATATTATATATCATAAACATTGTCTTGTTATTTACGTTTTTACCATTTTTAATTTTTCCTCATTTTCCCTTATTTTTTATTTTCTCAGATCCCAAACCCTAAACCCAAATCAACAAATCAAATTCCCCCAAACCCCAAAACCTACCTCTGTGGATTACCGCCCTCAATCGCACCCTGAACCGCTACTACACGATCGAGTGATTCACCTCTCTCCCCTATCCCATCATCACTCACCCGGATTCATTTCCCCGTGCCCACTGCCCGCTGCAAATTCTTTACCCTTCCCTTATTATTATTTTGCTAGCTATGATGGAGACTTGGCGGTCTCATGGATAAAGCGTTGGTTTATCAAAAGTGTCTTTTATTGCATTAATGGGGTTGGGAGAGCTAAACTTGTTAGAGTGAAAATGAAGGCATTGAATTGATATAAACTAAAAAGCTTTCTTTCCAGTGTTGTGGCCAATAAAAGCGAAGGAGTTCTTCTTGATGACTAGACACTTGCCTCTTTTCATCGTCAACATAATCGTTCTTCAATGTTCTCCCTTTCTATGTTGCATCCACTTATGTCATGTAATTAATTAAACAGAAGAGAGCATCCTAAAAGAAAATTCTTTTTTATTTTATTTTATTTTTATGAGTGGATAATGAAATCTAAATAAACCGATCGTTGAATATTAAGCAATTTTGATTAACTCGATTCTAAAAAGTAATTAATGGACTCAATTATATTTTATTAAAAGTTAATTTATTCGATTTTTAATTTTTGTTTTACCGAATTAACTGCATCAATCAATTGCTCTCTCCTGGTCCATTCATATTACCATAATTTGTTAGTCAATAAACATATTTTGCAATCTAACTTAACAATTTAAATCTTTTTTGATTGAGTGGTTTTTTTGAAATGATTCAAATGATCCGAAATGTGAATCCTAATTTTTTCTTTGTACTAAATAAATAACTTTTGTTTTTGTTTTATTCACATTTACATAGCCCATTGAGTTTGCATTAATAGGTATTCTAATGTAAATATTACCTGTTGTTTGAATTTTAAGAACAGTGATTAATTTTTACATTAAATTGTTAATATTATCTAATGGTTTTTTAAACATAGATAACGGTAGTTTTTTTCTAATCTAGTGGGAAGGAAAGTTAAAATTTACACAAAAAATTTAATTTTATTATACCATATTAAAAGATTTCAGGATTTGAGTTGAAGACACCAACTGAGTTGTCACAATTTACTTACAAACCAAAATAAATCGTAACATCAAATACTAAATTATTGGGGGTTTTTTTTTTTGGGTCCAATTTTGTTTGATGTTGGATATATAATAGTGATACTAAAAATATAAATAAATTATTTTTTAATGACCTTTTTAACCAAATATTATTACAATTTAGACATATAATGAAAAATTTTAAGCCAACTTTATCATCTAGTTATGTAAGTGAATTCAATGGAATTATAATTATTATCTATGCAATGGAAAATCTTTACTATTCATTAATTTATAAATACAACTAAAAATTATTCAGAGACACAATGAATAAAGATATAATTTTTCATAAATGAAAAGTTTTACATTCATTCATGCTAATATAATTTACAGATAAATTATAGAGAATATGATTTTATACGTAATATCACAAAATAAGTCAATGCTACATCAGCTGCGAAATTAAAATCTTTCAATCTTTTTATATATATTAGGATTAGGACAGATTTATCAAAATAGAGATGCGATGAGAGAAACTAGGCAGCAAACCCTCACCTCACCGGAAGCAGGTATATAGCTTCATGATAAGCAAAACCCAAGCTGATTTGGATGGTAGAGGAGCCGCAAGCCAACTAAGTTCCTAGAGCAATGGCCTGCAATTCTTCAATGCTGGTTATTACTTATTAGTGATACCAAGGTACATAAATATACAGACAATACAACCACAAAGTTAAATTGAGAATCTCTTGACCTCTGCAGAAGCCAGAGCTAGTATGATCTGGGTTTTCAAGAAATCATGAAGAATGCGATGGATGCATGGCATGTATAGGTTGTGGCTTTTGATAAAAAGAGTGAGATGATGGGCCTCAGGCTTCCATGACCTATTATTTTTTAAGCTCAAAGAGTGGGAAAAAACTTGGACAATTAATAATGATAAGAGCTTGTGTGGTTTAATTTTTTTTAATTTAAAAGCTATTAAGAAGTTGTTATAAAAAATATTTTTTTAAAATTAAGTTAAAATAAATTATATAAGTTTTAATTTTAGTTAAAATTACTTGATAAATCAAAACGCAACAAATTTGTTTCTAGTTTACATGCGATTTCAGAAATTAAAATCAATGAAATTTATAAAGAAATAAAATAACTCTCAAACTTTGTAAAACAGTAATAATATTAGTTTTTTTTTGTTGATTTAGTAAGCAATTGGATCATGATGTTTCAATTTTTCAAGAAAAAATGAAAAAAAAACATAAATAGTATATTTGATATTAAAATCATTTTTTATGAAAAAAAGAAAACTTTTAAATAGTATATCAACACAATTTTGAATTTTGAATTTTGAATTTTTTTAAATTTTTGTAAGAATACAAAATATCAAATTTTATTATTTTGTTGCTGAGTTTTTTATTTATTTTTAATAATTTTTGTAAAAAGAGGTAAATGAGAGGAAGATTACGATTTGTGTTGGAGATGAGTGTTTTGGAGAAGAATTGAGAGAGAAGATATTTTTTGAAAAGTTGGTGTGTTTTTAAAAGAAAAAAAGAAAAAGTTTTTTTCTGAATTTTTTTTAAAATTTATTTTTAATTTTGTTATTTAGAAGAAGCTATTTTAAAAAATTCTCCAAATTCTTATTTGATTTGATTAACTTTTACTTTTAAAAAGTAAATAAATTTAAAAAAATCATACCCAACAAGCACCAAATGTGGTTAATGTACAGTTGGCTTCAGCGGCATATAATAAAGCAATGTGTGCAAAAGACATGAAGTGGGAAGCCTGTCCTCATCTTCAATAAATATTGCCAGGAAAGACCAGGGAGAACAGCGGCTTTAATGTTTTTTCCGTTTACTAGTGAAATTTGGTGTTTAATGCTCCAGGGTAGTCAATGCAACAGTAAGGATAGGATACTATACATCATCTCATAGCTTAAAGTTTGGGGGAAACCAAAGAAGCTTGTGGGTCGGTCGGTCATATGCCTTATCCAATGGGAAAAAACGGGGTTAGAATAACACAATATAATAATTGAAGTTTGGTGCTAGCAATAGCAAGGAATTCAAAGTCTATTCCATAACGCAGTAGAAGTAAATAGCATCAGCATGTGTTATCAAATGTGTGGATTAACTATTATAAGCACATTATACTTTAAAAGAGAGAGAGAAAGACAGGCCACTTTTTATAGCTTGTCAACCCCATTATAAGGAAGATAGACCAGCTTCTTTCACCCTTCTTTTTCAACTTTTTCAAGGCAATAATGAGAAGAAAAAGATAGTGAATTAGATAGCGAGCGGCCTAGGGCAGCTGAGCTGCTGCCTGCGTATTCTGATGGCATTGGGTTACCAAATGGAAGGGCCATTCGGTCTGGTCAGCAAGGGTTTATGAGGCGTGAGTCTGAGCATATTCTTTTTGTTAGTTTGGATTTACTTTGTTCAAGTTGACAAATGACACCCAGCAAAGATTAAAATACTAATTTACATATATTATGTCTCCTAAAGTGGTTCAACGAGAATATATATATATATATATATATAAATTTTTTTTCCTATTTTTCACTTATTAAGAATGGTACTATTATTCTTCAAGCGTGCAAAACATGTTAATGAGCTTATCTAATGGAGTCAACAAAATGAATTTTAACTTCTAGGGGACATCGCAGTTGTGAACGTTTAAGGATCACATTTCCAAGTGCAATGGAACGTGGAAAAACAAAATTAAAGAGGGAGGGATAGCTGAAAGCAAATCAAAAAAAGGTAGTAGATTTTCTTTTAACACTTCAAAATTGTCTTGTTATCACATATTAGTACTTCACTCAATCTTTCTTTTTGCCGAATTTACTCACTTTCAAATATGTAAGGTTTAACCTTTTACAGTTATACTTTAAAAAAAAAATTCACAAAGCAAAAGATCAAATGTAAAAGAAAATCATGTCTAGGCTAACGTACAATTATTAGTGTTGGGATGGTTGGTTTTTCAGGAGACTTGCATTCCAAGTAGTATCATGTTCATGTTCTGATTAAAAGCTAATCTGTGTTCAATTAGTACACCTTAAAGGAGGTTTGTAGGCCCAGCCTATATGAAGCCCGTTAAAACAGAATCAATATGCTTCCAAACGTCTAACATTGGCCTGCCCAACTCGCTCCAACGCATGCAAAAAACTTTCAACGGGACTACACGAGCAGAGCTGAAATGATAGAATTATGATCACCATAACGGTACCTTGCTACTCAACTTATAAAAGGAAACCTACGAGTGGATAGCATACACTACAAGAAAACAGTGCCTTCTATGACGGAAAAAACCCGTCACAGAAAATTTTCTAATTATTGCAATCTATAGGAGGATTGCCATTGCATTTATATCGAATTATGCGAATCATCTACGCCACAATTTCACGAGTCCTTTGTGATTTAGTTGCGTCGCCACTTTTACTAGGAAAAGAAACAATATTAGGACCATCTCAATCTATATTTTGACGGCCAAGGCATCTTCGGATGTTTTATATGATATTACTAGCATGAATCTATCAAGCAATAACATTAAAAATGTAAAGAAATAATTTTACAAGTATTCCACTAGAGATATAGAATAAAAATAAATTATTATCAGAGGGTGGGAATGGTACAAGTAAAAACACTCTCCTTTACAGACAAATCAAAACAATATCGGGGCCCTCCTTCCAGCTTTTTCCGTGAGTTTCTCACCACCGGTAGCAATGGGTGGGGTCGGATCCCAGGTAGAAAAGAGTAAACTTTGAGCAACCCAAATCAGGAATGATGACAAATAAGCACCTGCGCCCTGAATGCTCAAATCATTAACGCATTAAACTGCAGTTTTGCACACATGTGGTTGGTAGCTGGCACAGTGACGATGGTATGGATCATTAGTTCGTTCAGCTGTAGGTTTCAATTTCCGATGGTTTTGCGCTCGAATTCCTTGATGGTGTTGGCTAGCTTCTTCATATTGTCATCGTAGACATAGGGTAGCTTATCGAACCAAGTGACATTGTTCCTGGCAGAGAGGGGAAGGAATTCCCTACATAGCTCTTGGTGTAGGGTAATCGTGTTGTGATAGTGATAATAACGAATCTTTGTTTCTGTCTTGTGTAATGTCTTCCCAATCACATTCTCCGACATGTGCACCCCTGTAGCATAGGCATTTTTCGCCTGAATCGCGTATTTCCTGTCCCGCCGAATTCCGGTTCTCGATTCCCTGAAGAGTAGCTTCTCGAATCCCCATTGCCTGCCAAAAGGTAGGAGTGAGTGAATAAAATGTGCAAATTTGTTTGGACTGGATGCAATTGAATCAAATGTGCAAATTCATTTATTTTCTTTTCCAGTGAACCAAATGAAATGGGACTTCTTTTTTTGGTTAAATTAAGCATATCCAAAATCCATATCTAGAAAGACGCCTCCTTTCATCTCCGTTTCTTTTTTCCTCTTTAAGAACATAATGACAGAAATACCGTGCTTGGCATAAAAATTGAGAAGCAAAGTTGTTAAGCGAAAATAAGCATATGGAGAAATCTAATTGAGATTACCTGGAATATTGTTCAGAGGAATTATTCAAGCATAGCACACTGGACATCGGATTCTGCTCAATGGTAAACTGTGTATAATCGGAGAACTCATTCAGCACAGATTCCAGTGTATTCCCATCAGGCAAATAAATATACTCGTCCACATCGAAAAAGAAAGTCCAATTGGCTGCGTGTCGATTGCGGTGCAGACAATCATTCACCACCAAAAACTGGTTATAATAATACCCATCGAATTCCCCCTGGTCTCGGATGTCCTGCACCGTAGCCCTCCCTGCTCGCACCCAGGGGTCCAGCGCTGCCCTGACCTCGGGCGTAACCCCACCCGCATCGTGAAACACAAAATGCGAGTTTGGTCCAAAGAACCAGGCGTGATAAGCCATCCATTCCCTCATCCTGTCAGCGCTGAGGTTCCCGTACAGAGACGATCCACAGTACAAGTATTCGTACTGAAAAGGTGAGTGGTACTTGGATTCATTGTAAGATCCAGGGGCCTCCTCCAAAGCTGTGAATTTCTCGTACTTTCTTTGGGACTCCCCGTAGTAAGCGTTTATCATCAGCTTCCCACCGAGGTTGTCTTGGTTTGGGTTGAAAGGGAAGGTGCAATTCACCACCACCACGGTGTAGACACGCCCATAACCCCAATCCGGAAGCATTTTGTAGGCCTTGGTCCTGTAAGATGACCCGTTGTTTGAGATCCACTCGCATTTGTACCACGGCCTCCCGAACACGTGCATGGGCTTCGAAGCCAAGCCCACCACCGCGAAAGTCGTAGGACCGCCCCTGTACGCACCCATCTGCACAAACAAAGCAGCCGCGTTACCGTAAGCCTCGAACACTCGCTTATTTGGGTCTCTGGGTTTAGCTTTAGGAGCCGAGTAGTACTTCTTCTCAGCTACCGGAGTTGCTGTAAAAGGGAGTGATGCATTGGTGGCGAGTAGACTGGTGGTGGCGGCGGCGGCGGCGGAGGTGAGAGAAGGAGCAGGGCAGGGACGGGTGGTGGAGAGGAGGTTTTGGTAGTAAGGAGGAAGATTCCAGAGAAGCATAACCAAGGTGAGCGCTAGCAATGTAGCAACTAATGGTTTTGTTTCAAAGCAAACGAACAGCTTCCCAATGCTGGCGGCGGTGGAAGGGGCGGAGGAGGGCGCCGCTTCCTTCCTCATTTTAGTGTCGGTTGTGGTGGTGATGGCGATTGTTATGATGTTAATTCTTTATTGATGATTCTAATTGCTCAGCCCAAGAAAAGGGCAAAAAAAAAAAAAGGGCGAGGGTCAAATGGGGGTCATACCGACACCCTATGTTTTTGCTCCGCTGATAAACATTAAAGAAGAATAGTTCTCTCCTCGCCTCTCTGTCTTTGCATCCTCTTCCTAGTCATTAATTTATCAATATTATATATCAGATGGACAGGTTTTGGGTCTTGATCTGCTTTTATTTACCAAATTGACACTGTCCTTTTTAGAAGTTATTTACTCTATCCGGTTCGTTTGTATCCTAGTTTAACCACCAAAACGCTGTGGAGTGGAAATTAGCAACCGTCAAAAGCACGCCCCCATTGGTTAAAATCTTTGAAAGCAACAAAAATCAGAAATGCATGATGATGATAATGATGATGATGCCCAAACTACCAAGATTTCTGGAATTTCCTTTTTCGCCCTTACAACGGCCATCCATCCCGAGCAACTGCAGTCATCCAACTCCATGCTCTTAATTATCTGCTTTACATTACCATTACCCACCCATCTGCTTAACGTTTTCCTCTTGTTGTTTTCAATTGGCCGACTGTATCCAGTTGAGGAACAGGCAGTAATTTAAGAACATCCTGGTTTCTCTTCCAAAAGTGGAGTCATCCAATCCGCATATGGCCTCCAAAGGACAAAAGCAAAAGCCTAGCAGTTGGCAATCCCCTTTTTCTCCTCTTTTTCTTTCGATACAAGCTTACAAAGTATGCTCACTCCCCTGCATACATTGCCTCCCCGGTGTTGAATTTCTGATTCTGTACTTTGTGCAGTGTCAATTAAGAATAATTAATCTGATTAAATAAGTTTTTAATTAATAGCATGTGAATAATTAGAATACTAAAAATAAAACCAAAAAAATTTAATTGTTGGGATTTGAATATAGACAAACGATTCCGGATCAACATATGCTGGTGCGTGCTTTCCTGGAATGAAACATTACATTAATTTTTCAGCACGATGAATTAATTTAATTTATCGTCTATGATTATGGGTGTCAGCAAAGTGATTCTTCCTTTCTCTAACCTATTAAATTTGTCTTTTTTACTGTAATAATAAATAATTATAAGGGATCAATAGATTTGTAAAGCCTAGGCTTTTATAAAAAAAAAAAACATAACGCATTTTTGCAGGAGGGTCCTAATTAACCATAAAGGTCCCATGTGCATGCCACTAGAGCACAGAATTACAGCAATCATTACTATTTTTTTTCTTGCTTATGAGAAAGAAAATGCCAAAACCTTAATTTACATTATCATGCCAATAAAATTATTCATTTCCCAGGAAACTTCCAGACACAGAAACCGCATCTATTTTATTCCAAGCAAATAGAGGTGAGAGGGCCAGTATATCTAACTTCCACCAAAAGACACAGAAAGGCCAAAAAAATTCTTGATATTAGAATAAAAATTATAATATAGTCACGATTTTATTCAATATAGGAAATAAATACGTAGCACATAGTTAATGTTATTTCTTATTATTGTTTAATAAAGAAGATGGAGCTTTACTTGAGATTGGGTAAAGAAGAAAAGGTAAAATATAACGCATTTTCATGATTCATTGATGGGTTGAGACGCTCGATACCCTGGAAAGAAGAAAAAGAGAAGGGAAGAAGCCCCGGCGTATCCAACGGTATTTAAAATTAGGGACAGCTAAAACCAATTGATT